CTCCATTTATATGACATTTTCACAAAATTAATGGGATATCGTTTAAATGTTTTTTTTTGTTTTTTTTTTGGTGAGGGAATTATTTTTCTTTAGGCTTCTTATATACCTCCTACATTTAAATGTCAACTTTTTTACATTTACAGTGTCCATTCTTGCAAAGTTGATTTTGGAACTGTGTTGGTGGTAGGGCTGTGTATTGGCAAGAATTTGGCGATACAATACATATCATGACAGAGGGGTCACGATACGATATATCCCGATATATTGCGATACTATAGCAAGGCGATATATCGCAATTTTTTTTGTCCAAAAATTCTATTAAATGGGGAACCTCTTACAGGGGAAAAAATGAAAAACCAAAATTCATTGTCTCAGAAAACTCTAATATTACATAGACATACAGGGCTTTAGAATATCGATACAGTATCGGGAAATGAAATATCGCGATATTTCAGTGTATCAATATTTTCCTACGCCCCTAGGTGGTAGTTGCATTTGAATCTTTAATGTCTTCAGAAAGTTGCTATTTTTGATCTTACAATAAGAATATTCTCATAGTATTTAGAGCACAATCTACCCAGGAGATGTGAGGTCACATGAAGTCCGGGATGGGAAACTTAATGATGGAAGGGGCCACAAGTTTTTGTTGACATTAGTCGAGGCCCACATAGCACTGCACACTTATTTGAATGTAATAAAATAGCCATTTAAAAAAATGTTTGTGTGTACATATATGTTTATTAAAGGGGCAATATTATGTGTTTCTCAGGCATATAATTAAATACTATACCATAGTAAAGTATCTATGTCACCTTTAGTTGTTATTAAAATGCTGTTTTTATGTTTAAATAAAAAATAAACTTATTTTCTCATCACTTCCTCTTCTAAATGCCTTGAAATTGGCCTCTGTCTCTTTAAGACACAGTTTCCGCTTTTGTCTCACCCATTTCGGTGCGGGGGTGCTGCCATGATGCAGTTTACTTGGCATCTGAAAATACATTTCCTCAAAGG